ACAATAATACTAGTATTTTTCGTTTATTATAGTTTTAAGCTTATTTTAAAAATTATTTTTAACTTTTTAGTCGATGTCCTTTAAAAGCGTGTTTTTTTAGTTTTTTTAAACTATATTTTTCGTCACTACCTCTACGTTGCGCGCCTGCTGCTTTCCTTGGATGTGGTAGTCGTTTCTCAGACTCCCTCTCCGGAATCGAACCCTGATTTCCCGTTACCCGTTATAACCATGATATTGATATTAACTTCTATCATAACATGAAACTAAAAAGTAAAAAATAAATATAGTTAAAAAAAACTAAAAAAACACGCTTTTAAACTATATTTTTATTAAAATTTTGGGTTTTGTATTTTATTTTATTTTAAAATATCTTATTATAGGAATACACTGACTATCATGAATATTATATAATTTGATTGACATAGAATAAAGTTCATAAGACATAAGGAATTAAACTTTTTAAATTTTTTTGCTTTTTTAAAGTCGAAAAAGTAATTTTTTAATTCGAGTTAGCTTAAATTGCTAATTTTATCATGTGACAAAAGCGATGAACAGTTGTCGAATCGGTAACACTTATGTCTTTCATGCTATAAGGGTACGAGGTTCGCATCCGCCTGTGGCAATTAATATTTTGCATTATTTTCGACTTAGAAAAAGATTTTCAAATCATTTGATATTTATCTCGTTTAGATTCAATAACTTCAATAAATATAAAGGATCCTATCAATATAGTCTCCCCTCGTGAGAAGAAATTTATATTCATGTTAATATTATTTTCCTATGTAGTTTTTTTCGTGGCTACGATTTATTTTGCCAACCCTCACTAGACCTACTTTTTTCAACGATACGTCAAATGATTACAATTCGTATTTAGTTTAAGTTTTTACCCTAAAAAATCGAAAAAATATTCCTTATTCAAATAAAAAGTAGCTAACCAGCTATTTCCATACAAACAATTAAAATCATTAATTTCTACTATTCTTAAAGTATTCATTGTCGAATTAGATTTGATATGATAAAAGTATTCAACTACAAAAGTAAATAATTTTACTTCGTAATTTATTCTTTTTTTAACTCTATTTGTGTGTGCTACTATCAGTCTATAATATTCTAAATTTTTTTGTAATATGTTGCTATATAAATTTAAATAAAAAATGATTTTTAGTTTCACCTGAATTTAACGATGGATTTTTACAATTATAATCAAATTTTATAATACGCTCAATTGAGTAAATCTTTTTAACAACTTTTTTTTTATTGGTTTTTTTAGATATATAATCATTAAAATTAATTAAATTCTGAATATTTCCATTGCAGAATCTTTTTAAACGCCAAAAGTTAATTAGAAATGATTACTGTGATTTTTATTTAAGTGATCTATTACGATAAAAATGTAAAAAAATCTAACTTTTCTGATAAATGTACTGTAAATTGTAATTATAAAATTTCCTGATTGCATATTAATCTTAACAATTTAATTTTTTCTATTTAATAATGTCAATTTCAAACTTGCAAGTTGAACTATAAGTTATGGTAACAAATTCATTTTTTTTTATTAAAACTTTCACTTTAAAGGACAAAAAAAAGTAGGTTCAAAATGATTACTTTTTAACATATTAAAAATCAAAATCAATAATAATTTGAAAACAATTAATTTTAAAAATTGTATAATATGTAATTAAAAGAATTACTAATCTGGATATAATTAAGGAAATAGAAGTTGATGTTCCTTTTGTAATTATCCATCAATTTTTTAAAATTAAACACTATCTACAGATTTGCATCGAAGCGTTTCTTATGATAGTGATTTTAATCACTGTCAGATTAAATCTATACTGGATCTAACTATGCAACATCCCTACTATGCCGCGACCCCACTGTGCTGGATTTTATTTTATTACTAGAGCACAAGACTTCTGTCCCCAAAAAAAAAACTAATTATGCGTGCACTTATGTACTTAAAAATCCTGAAATAAGCTCTTATAAATGCATTTTTTAACGGTTTATTAATGAAATAAATTGTAATATTATATTTTTACTTATAATATTACCATATAATATGATGTACATGTATGTCACATATTATGATTATACAAGATCACCAAAACAGGGTTCTCTTATTTAAAACACAAAATAACTCTTTAATTATGCGATAAAATCTCCTTCTTGAAGATATTGTTAAATAACGCCTACATATAAGTAAGAGCCCTCATTATAATTAACCTATTAGAATAAAAAGCCTCAGCTTCCAGGATCACGGTAGAGATCGCTGGGCTACTCCCTTCAGACTATAAAAAGCTATTTTTCCTCATTTAAACCAGTTCTTTCTATATAATATATAATATAATAAATATTATAGACAAGACATTTTATTTTAATTAAACGATTTTGTAAAAAAAGATATTGAATATTTTGTATCAAAAGAAACGGTTATATCGGATTCGTTTAATTTCAGATGTTTCGATGTCTGACTTGACGTTGAATTATTCTGTTAATATTAACATTTATTTTATTATAAAAAAATGCCAGGCCAATGGATTGTTGACTTAAGTACCATATGTGATTTATAAATTTAGAAAGCGCAACTTGGGGGGATATTTCACTGTGATGAATAGCACCTGGCTTATGAAAAAATTGACTATTATGACTTTTTACACCGAAAAAAATTAATGTTGACTTGAGGAATAAAAATTAAACTTTTAGAACCTTTTTGTAAACGAATATGCGTTTTCCAAAGAATAATATAAAAATAAATAAGTAAAAATCAACAAAATCCGTTATAACATATTTTTAAGACTTTTACATGTTATTTACTATATGTAGTGTTTTTGTGGGCTATTTATTAAGGAAACTACATTGAAGTTATTATTTTTTAATTTTTTGTAAAATTTCCTTTATTTGAGTTTTACTTTCATAGTTCTAAGTTAAGCAAAAAAAAAAGTTATGAGACATAGATCGGTTATTTCTATTAAATTTCACTCTTCAACTTAACTTAATAGGCCCGGGGGCCTCACTCGGTTAACGGGTTAACCTTTAATGATCGGTCCCAAATTTTGCAGAGCTCATTTTTTTGACTATTAAAAGAAAATTAATAGGTAGCTTAAAAAATAAAAGACATTCGATTTTTGAGGACCACCCTAGCACCCATACATACTTATACAGGCCCGTGCACAGGGGGGGGGGAAGATTCAAACTTCCCCCCCATGGCCGAAAAAATATATATCATGTTTTTCATTTTTGATTGATTATATTAGATATTTGCATATCTTATTTGTAATAAAAATTGTAGAGGACTGTTAGCAAACCATATTCTTTTTGGTTTACACGTTTTAATTAATTATATTAATTATTTTGTAATAAACCAAAAATAAAAAAGAAAGAAAAGAAATTAAAATTAGATAGATGGTAGGGGTAAAGGTAAATAATTAAATAAAATATAAATGAATGATTGGTTATATAATATTAATTATGTGGTTTTTATTATTAAATTATAATTAAAATAAAATGTCTGGTCTATAATATTTATTATATGATTTACACATTAATTGTTTCTCTTATTAGTTATTAATTTTCCTATTTAATTAATATTAATGGTTTATTACTCAATAGATTGATGGATATTTAAAAGTATAGATTAAATTGTACTTACCTTACGTCCTGTGTAATGCAATAATATTTCAAATAATCCAATGTTGATTTTGTTATTAAACGCACTATATATACGATTTACACTATACGTCATATAGTTCATATAATTACTTACAAAAACTATTCAAAATTTTAAATAATAAATTTAATTACACAAAGTCTACGACCGATCTTACTTGTAAATGATTCTAAACACTGTATATTTTATTATAAATATAATTTTAATTTTTTTTACGTCTGTTGAATAAGTATTTTTTTAGAGAGTATATTTTATTAAGAGATCGACACCAATATTTCTTAAATTTTCCTCTGTCCTGGCCTAAACAAAATTCAGAAATATTTATATCTGTGTAAAAAATTTATCAAGGCGGAATTGTGGTGGCCCAATGTGTCCCGGCGCTAGATAGCACCTTGAAAGGATGCGGCACAATAATCACCAAGACAAAAATTAAACATTGCAAATATACTTGTAAATTTCTTTGCGTTGTCTGTCGGCGCGATGTTTGTTAAAACAAAGACATTAGCAACGAGACTAGCTACCCAATAAGAAAAGCTCACAATAGAGCAATAGCATTCGGTAGCCATTTTTATCGTGAAGACAAAATAAAGTCCGAAATTTTTATTTTCCGTAATAAAGTAAATTACATTAGCTTTAATTTAAGATATATATAAAAGTGTCAGACCTTCCGGAACATTTTCAAAAGTTAAGTTGAAAAAGTTGTCATTTTAAATCCCTTCTGTGGGCAGGTTAAGTGTTAGATTTACAAAAAAATTATACTAAATAATAGGTAAATACATCAAGCATATATAAAAAAAAAAATTATATAGATTTGTTCATTTTTAAAAAAAATTATGGCAATTTTAAATAAAAAAAATGAAAAAATGTCGAAAATTAGCAATTTTTAAATTTGTAATTTTTTGGGGCATTTCTCCCGTTAACGGGGAACGAGCGTATTTTTTCAATTTTTGTTAATTATAATAAGATATAATTTTCAATTATATTTGACCCAACTATGCCACGTTCATACTGAGCCGCTATCTCACTGTGCTACCGTTTTTATTATTAATATAACCTTAAAGTACAGATTTATTTTATTTTATCTTGATAACATACAAATATAAAACTGTACTTGTATTAATAATTTGTCTCTTTAAATCATGAAAGTATTTATGCCATCCCGATTTGGCTAGATTTTTGTACAAGTGTATTAATAGATTGATTAAAAATAGTACTTATTATTACGTATTATTTACTTAAGATACCCATTTTAAAATTAAAAAAAAAATGATAATAAATTAGGTCGATGATTACATATTTATATATATATAACCAATTTAATAAAAAAATTGTCATTAGTTATTCAGAATAGTAATAACATGATATTGTTAATATAATATTTAGAGTAAAAATGGAGGTTAGTAATATACTTTACTTGCAGTGTTTGATTGAATTCTAAAAGATTTTTAAATTTTATTCTAGAATTGGAAATTGATTACTTTTTTGTTGATAATTTTCTGTTTAATATTTAACGAAGGTAAATTCTATTATTTATGTCTATAAGTTAATTAAATATTCATATTAGTTCATGCACTTTTTTAAATAAATACATACAGAAAATGCTCAAGATTAGCTATCCTTTTAGATACACAGAGTGGTCCAACATATTCTGACACACTAATAACTTTTAATCTAGTTAATATTTTGTGTTAATTTTTTAAAATAATTGTTATGCATTAAATCTATTAAAATTTTATAATAAATACTACCTATTCAATTTATTAAAAAAAAATTTTCCATAAAAGATATCTACGCTTGAATAAACACCTGTAGATCAACTTAAATATTTAAATAATAATTTTATTTAAGTAAATAGAAGATCTCTTTGGTATTTACTTATCAGAAGTCAAAGCACGACCTTTGATTTACTCTAGATGATTTCATATTTGAGAACGACAATTATATCGTTGGTATTTTATTAAAATTAAATAATTTTAAATAATTAAAAATTCCATCTTTTAATCTGACGATAATTTAAAATCAAAGTTGGCTTATTATTTTTATACTTAATGATGTAATGTATTATATATAAATATATTTTATGAATTTTCCATCTTTCCATTACACAGTAAGTTGTGTTGTTCATAACTCTGAACATTGACATATGGCAATATAAAATACATATATTTATATACATGAAATATTAATTATATTCAATATTTTAATTTATACATTTTTTATTAGTTTTTAATACTAAAATAAAAAGAACAGAACAAAAAAGGATATATAACAGCTAGTATACAACTGACTGTTGTTCAGTAAACACAAGGAATTTCGTTGTTCAGTTTTGAGTATTTTTTAATTATTTTAAGTTAATATTTATTAATTAATTACGGAGCAAGAGAGTAAATCTAACACACCAATACCGTCAATGAAAATTGTTTCAAAAAAAGAAATTACTTTATCTGATGCATGTAACCTTTTTAGTTCAAACAAGTGAGCTATTAATTCAGCATTCAAAGAACTTAATCTAAGGTTGGTTAATTTAGAGCCAAATTTAGCTAGCTTTAAAAATACCGTTGACCTTTAAACATCAGATTTAGCTTAAGTTAAAAAAACTTATGTTAAATTAGAAGCTAATATATAATAATTAACAGATAAAATTAAGTCACTCAAAAATCGTGAAATTCCTAATGAGCTAATTTTAGAAGCAATAAGGCCCAAGGGAGAGTTCCTAAATCTAAATACATTATTTTATTTCATGTCTCTGATACTCTTGATGAAACACAATCTAATATAATTAATTTCACGGATAATATTTTTCAAGCAATGAATATAGAAATTCAGACTACAAATATTAAAAGATTGGGTTTGTACACTTCATAGTTTTTATACTTCACATAGCTCACAAATAGATGAAGTATTTTCTAATGAAATTAATACAGTAGTTAAGTTAAGTGATATGTCTTTAGTGCTTTTAATGTTTAATAATGTTTTGAATTTTTAAATATATATTTAAGTATTATATCGGGTAAAATAAATTTCCATGATGTTTTAGTGCTGAACTTAGAAATAATATAAAACAAAAAAAAAAAAGCTCATAAAAACTTTTATAAAGACCTGTTTTTAAACTAAGCTCACTTCTTATGTTATTTAGACATGTTATTTATGGTTTTAGACAAAAGAAGTCAATTAAAATTGTATATTATATATTGCATATATATATTTATAATATTAATATTATATCAATATTTAATTGATAATGTATCTAAATATTTCCACCGTGAAAACAAAATAAAATCCGAAATTTTTTTTTTTTATAATAAAGCATATTACATTAGCTTTAATTTAATATATATATATATAAGTGTTAGTATTTCCGAAACACTTTCAAAAGTTAAATTTAAAAAGTTAATATTTTGTGAAAAAGTTGTCATTTTGATTCCCTTCCCGTGGGTAGGTAAAGGGTCAAATTTATAAAGCATCTATAAAAAAAAATTTATATTGATTTTTTCATTTTTGAAAAAGTTATGGCAGTTTTAAGTAAAAAATTGAAAAAATTGAAAAAATTATCGATTTTTAAATTTGTAATTTTTTTGGAGATTTCTTCCATTTATGGGGAACAAGGGAATTTTTTTTCAATTTTTGAGGGTAATGTTTTCGACTAGATACGATTTGTGATCTTTTTACGTATCGTTGAAAAAAATCGGTTCGGTGAAATTAAAAAAAAGTGGTAACGGACACAAAAAAAAAACACATCGTAGTAACATTAATAACTTCTTAGCTTCGCATTGAAGCTAATAACGAGAGATAAATTGAGAAGATTAGACCTACTAATGTTGATACAAACTTTTTAGGGTAAAAGAAGTTTTTATTATTTTAATTTGAGTTTATTCAATAAATTTTAGTTTAAGTGAGAAAAAGTTTTCTTTGGTTTTTTTTTTAATTTTTTGGTAAATTTTATATGTACTATTAAGTATTTTTTAAAAATAAATATTTAAAAAGAATGTAAACATTATAAGTAATCCAACATTGATACCGTGTAAATGGGATAAATATTATAGATAGAATATAATTGTATGGATATGGATGGTTGAAAAACATTAAATAAATGAGCTGAGAACAAGTGGCAACAAACATAAAAAAAAAACGGTAGCACAGTGGGGTCGCGACTCATTATGGAAATGGCAAAGTTGGGACAAATATAGATAATATCTGTCGGTGATTAAAATCACTATCGTAAGAAACGCTTCGATGCAAATCTGTAGATAGTATTTAATTTTAAGAAATTGGTAGATTATTTCATAAATAACTTTTATTCCCTTAATTTTATCCCGATTAGTTATTTGATTTATAATTATAATATATGAATAAATAATAATTATATTAATTAAATTTATTATAAAATTAATATTCAATAATTTAATATTGCAATTTTTATAGAGATAATATCTCTATAAAAGTAATAAAGTAGTTGTCTATTTCTTTACTTTTTACGCGTATAAAAATTTAAAGAGTTTGATGCAATACTTTTCAATAAAAAATGTTTGTTATTTATAACAAAGTTATAAGTTTTATACACTGGACTACAAGGAACTTTAATAAGAAACAAAAACATACTTTTCTAAATCAACTTTTTGCGATGTTTTCAAATGTGAAATTAGACTTTTTCTATCACTTTTAAATTTTAATATTTATAATATTATTAAAAAACAATAAGTATTTACATATAAAAAAATAATCTAGGACAAAAAAAATTTTTTTTTAATTAATACTGATCTTAGTTATTAATATGTTAAAAATAAGGAAAATGACATATTTAACCTATTTTTTTAATCCTTTAATGTTGATTTTTGTGAAATTTAAAAAATGAAAAATTAATTTATAACCATAACTTGAGCTCAATTTGCAAGTTTGAAATTTACATCATTAAATGGAAAATTTTATGAGAATTAAAAAAATTGTATTGTTAAGATTAATATGCAATCAGGAAATTTTATAATAACAAGTAAATATATATATATATATATACATGTAAAGTGACTTGAGTACGTAAACGTATCATACACTAGTTATAGCCGTGTTTTGTTGGCGGGCGGGACGGAGAAACATTATACCTGAGGTATAAACGGCAGCAGCGGTGGTAGGAATATATAAATAAATATATATATATATATACGTAAGCCGTATGCACTCGGATAATAATGGTCAGTCAAAATAAAAATTTGTTTATATATATATAATATTGATGACACGCACGTGTGTACGGATACGATAACCAAAAATAAATTTATACCGGAATAATGTTGTAGGCGTGTGTTGAGCTTGGCGTGGGGTGGGGTGATGCGTTAAAACAGTCTAGTCTCAAGGACATAGACGACGGGATACGCGAGAATACACGTGGCGTGTGGAGAGTTACAAACAAACATACATACAGGTGAAACTAATATAATCGTGTTAATAAATATAGTTTAAAAAAACTAAAAAAACACGCTTTTAAAGCACATCGAACTAAAAAGTTAAAAATAATTTTTAAAATAAGTTTAAAATAATTATGAACAAAAAATACTAGTATTATTGTGATAAAAGCGTCGGGCGCTCAATATACGAAAAATATGACACAAAGCACCCACGCTTTTATCTTAATAATACTAGTATTTTTTATTCATAATTATTTTAAAAATTATTTTTAACTTTTTAGTTCGATGTGCTTTAAAAGCGTGTTTTTTAGTTTTTTTAAACTATATTTATTTTTTACTTTTTAGTTTCATGTTATGATAGTTGTGATGGTGTCACGTTTTCATAATCGTGAGAATTATTTTAATAAAATACAGACAGCACATCCGCTGCCTGAGACTGATGAATTAACAAATAATATTTATTGCCAAATCGGCAATAAGTGTAATTATTATAAAAACCCAATAGACCTGACCATCGTTGTCAGTCGACTCCAGTGCCTTGTGTCATTCATCAGTCTCAGTACTCGGTTGTCGCTGTCCGGCTTACTGTTTAAAGTAAAGTCTTTGTTTATTCCTTTTCTAACCTATATACTCTTTTCCTCGACATTTCAGAGTACTTGTGTCTTGCACTTCGTCTGCACCTCGTACTTTGTTATCCTTCCTCACCTGGTACGCCTAGTATTTGTGTCTTGCACTTCGTCTGCACCTCATACCTAGGTGTTATTCTTATTCTCCCTTCCTATAACAACAGCCTTTCGACACCCACAGCTAACCCGGAGTGTCAGCCGAGCACGGTGACTGCTGTACGACAACACGCACGTGAATACCTAGACAGCAGGCACCACCTCCTCATATTCATATTCGTACACACAGTTACACATTCACACTTACACTTAGTTTTACTCTTTCCTGTGTTACGACATAGTAGTTACTATCAATATCATGGTTGTAATGGGTAACGGGAAATCAGGGTTCGATTCCGGGGAGGGAGTCTGAGAAACGGCTACCACATCCAAGGAATGCAGCAGACGCGTAAATTACCCACTCCCGGAACATGGAGGTAATGACGAAAAATGAC